ATGTATATCCACTGGATATCCAATGGATATCCATACTGGATGTTCAAAAAAAAAACAAAAACATTAAAAATATTTTTTTCTTTGTTAAAATAGCCCCTTATAGGATAAATTTATGTAATGATTAATAAATATGATTTAAATCGTTATTAACCCAATTTCAACAAAGTATCTCTAATATATATCCAATGGATAACTAATGTATGTCCAAAGTATATCCACTGTACATCTAATGTATATCCACTGGATATCCGGTGGATAACTGATATGGATATCTTGTATATATACTTGTATGTATACATGTGGGATTTTGTGATGGTTTAAACTAGCATATGTAAAAAAAACAACTTTACGGTAAATTGATTTTTTGCCAAGAGCTACGAAATTTTTAATTTTGAAATGTTCACTTTATCCAGATAATAATATTTATATATTAATAATATTATTTCTGTTAATAATATGACTATGACAGTCTGCAATACAATAAAAAATTACTTAAAAAAGTCCCTTTTGTTTATTATTGTATTTCATAGTACTACGCACGCGCTGAATTTGAGAATCTTCAGTGTTGTTATAAGCAAAATAACTAAACGAAATATATTTCCGTACTTTATTAAGTTTTAATAAATAAATTAAATAAATTTAAAATAATTATTCACCACATTTATGTCAAATAGGTATACTAGGTATACTAATTAATTAAGTATTAAAGATTTAATAATATAACCGCCATTTTGATGAGCTATTAGTTATTTAAACGTCTGACAACACTGCTCAGCAGTGACTGCTGCCGAACACAGAAGATAAAGAAGCGTCCTTTTTCTATGGTAGCGTCCGTTAAATATGATGCCATGATTGTTAGGTACATCCAAAGGGTTTTCATGTTTATTTGCTTCATTCCACAGATTGTAAAGGTTCATTCGCCATCATTGCTATTTGTTATATGTTTGTCATAAAGTTTATTGCCAAGTTATTGTGTTTTGTGGTTATTTGTTTGAGGTCTCTAGTGGTAAGTGAATATTTTATTAATTTTCTAATCATAAGTCGTTTTTTCGCGTAAATACTATGTAATACTACGGTTAAATAAGTCATGACGTCACAGTTAATTAATATAACCATGGTTAGGTTTCTAACATTTGACATTTGTTTACTTGTTCATAACCTATAATTTTTAAAATGTGTTTTTCCCAATTTATATTTAATTTCTATGCTTTTACCGGTGTAAATAAATTTCTTTGCCTCTTCTTATACCTAGTAAATTCTTTTTCTATAGGTACTAGTTTTTTCAGTGCACGTTATCCAATTCTCCTACATGTTTAATACAAAATAAGAAAGAATATAAAACAAACCTGCATATAATTCCTCCACTTGTGGAGAGTCCACAATATGGAGCACCCTATCATTTATTTTTACTGACAACACCCCGTTTACCATTTTAATACAAAGTTTAAATTCGGTTTAAGAGCAATTGTACCTACTTAAAATATTTTAAATTTCAAATGTAAACAACTTTTGACAGATCGAAACAGAAAAATATATATTAAAAAGAGAAAGACTATTAACCACGTTGAATAACTAGCTCAGCGATATAGTTTTATGGTCTGGTATTTGTGACGTCATAGTTAGAATTTTTGAACGCACTCTAAACGCAAAAATTACTTAACTATTAACCAAGGTTAAGTTTAATAACCATAGTATTTCATGGTATTTACGCGAAAAAACGACTATAGTTATCATTTTAAATTGTATTGGTCTAAAACTAATACAATTTTAAATTAAATAGGTATATTTAAGTGCAATTTATAAACTTTCGGTTAGCATTGAAGGTAAAACATTAAAGGTGAATACATGCATGCATTTATATACCGTACCTTTATTTGCAAGCTATACATAGGCTCGAGGGTAACAAATGGGCTGATGGATTGGCCAAATTTTGGGGATCCTAAGGAGACAGGTGAAATAGGCCCTAAATGATATGGCTGATAAAAAGGCAAATGATAGCTGGAGGAGTGATGTCAAGCCAGAGACTTCACTTCTTTAGTTATATGTAGTTTTCTGTTCTATTTTATGTTTTCATAAAAATAAATATTTAAATTAAAGAATAAGACTTTTATTTTAAAACCCAATGTTATTTATTGAAAAGTAAATATCCATTGATTCACCATATCCAATACAGATGACAACCATATTGCATACAATACTATATCCACTGGGTATCCACTGGATATCCACACTATGTCCAGGAGGGTCGGACATTTATATATCCAATGGTTATCCATTGGATATCCATACAATCTCCATATTGAATACAGATTACAACCATATTGCATACAATACTATATCCACTGGGTATCCATTGGATATCCACACTATGTCCAGGAGGGTCGGACATTTATATATCCAATGGTTATCCATTGGATATCCATACAATCTCCATATTGAATACAGATTACAACCATATTGCATACAATACTATATCCACTGGGTATCCATTGGATATCCACACTATGTCCAGGAGGGTCGGACATTTATATATCCAATGGTTATCCATTGGATATCCCGGATATCCTATGTATATCCTGGATATCCATAAAAGAAATCCATTGGATATCCATTGGATGTAATTGTTCCGTGTGGGAAGTTTTGTATGCATTGCTGGCATAACTGGTTTTTATGGTCCTACGACGCTTTTCTAGCCCTCGCGCTAACGCGCTCGGGCTCGAAATAGCGCCTCGGACCATAAAAACCTTATTATGCCCTTAATACATAAATAACTATTACGCCTGTGTGTTTTGTTTTGCTATGATAGCTTGGACAGCCCACAACACAACACTTCATTGAAAAATATTATTAAAACATATAATAAAAATAGTAATATTAAAATGCGTAGAAAGTTTTTTATAACGAGTTTATAAAGATTATAACCAGTGTTGCCAACACGTAGGGAAATTCCCTATTCGTAGGGAAAAATATGATTATTTTTTTAGGTGTAGGGAAAAAGGACAGAAATTATTTTTGTAGGGAAAATTTTTTTCCATTAAAATTGGCCTTTTCTAAGAAATTTTATAAAAAAAAATTATTGATAGATGTACTTATTATGAGGTTGAAAGGGTTGCATAATAGACTCGATCTATCCTTTGGCATCTAAGTAACAGATGTCGCTTTATTAGTTGTACCAAGTACTACAGGTCATGTTTATGATAATTATAAAGAATAAAACAATTGTTTAAGGTACCTACTTAATATTTTTAAATAATAATTGGATAATAATTATAATTATTATAATCCTTGTTTTCTAAAATGTACCTATATTCATTTATTTTTGTATAAGAGTTATGTTTTTTTTTCTTGTTTTTAAATTTTTTTTGTTTTTAAATTATTTTTATGAAATAAAAGTTTTTAATAAAGTTTTTTTGGGACATTCATTAAATTATTATTATTTTTAAATGGTAGGGAAAATTAAAGGGATTTTTTTTTTATTGGTAGGGGAAAAAAGGGAATTTTTATTGGGTTGGTAGGTACTATCTATACAAAATGTTGGCAACACTGATTATAACCTTTAATCATAACAAATATTTAAATATTTGACAGACAAACAAATGACAGACGCGCATGCGCATTTTGTTTAAACCAGGAGCTCTCAACATTTTTTTACACTTGCGCAACAGATGATGAAAATAAGTAATCGGAGTGTCTAACCACCTTCTCTACTAAACCAAGGGAGAGAACAGTAAAATTAACCTAACTTATATTCTCTCTTTATTCGATGCAAATCTATTTGTTTTAAATTTGTATGTTCCCGCTAAAATTAAAGTGCACTTTTGAGTTGTTTTGTTAAATTAATTTTTATTTATTTTAAGGTTTCAGTTAAAAATATTTTTTAATTTTGTTTAATTGTTTTGTTGCTTTTATATATTAAATATTTTATTTTAATTTTTCAATTCTACGGCATTTTTTTTTAAATACGGTAATTTTTACCAAGAAGGTACGGAAATTTCATTTTGACCATCTGGCAACGCTGTTGAATGATTTAACCATGGAGCCTACACAAGGAGTCCGAACTGCATGTAAACAAGAATCTTCCTAGGGAAAGTATGCGCTGGTGTACCGTTTAATCTGAAACAATTGACTAATTTGTACCGAAATTCTACCAAAAGAGCAGACGTCAGGACACATCAACAATCAGCGCCGCTGGTGGTGAAAAAAATGTCTTAATTTGTGCAATTTAGATTGCAGGTTTTGTCAATTTTCCCCATAGAAATGATTTTCCCTCAGGGGTGTGATTTTTAGTACAATTGTACTTTTCTAGTACAAAAAAATAGCTTCTAGTACGTCAGCACCTCTTTGGCAATTCTAGTACAATTTTCAAAATTGCCTTTAAAGGCAATTAATTAATTAGAAAAAATTTATAAAACGAATCTCAAAATTGAGACAAAATTTCTAGCCACTGTTTTTTTTACTGTTGGTAACGGAGCCTACATTACGGAGGGAATCATAAAGTTTCTCTATGAAGGGAATGTGGCGCAAGGCGTCAAATGTCAACTTCAACGACGACAGGTTGTCGGTGTCGGCCACAAAACTAGAAGGTTTTGTGGTGTCGGCACTTAGCCTTTATCTAATCTATGCACTTAGCTGTGAATCTGTGAGGTGATAGTGAATGTAATGGACATGTTAGCTGTTTATTACTTTTCTTTTGAACTTCCTAAATAATTACACAACTAAACCCAGTTTGTATTGCATAAAGCCTTATCATCTACTTTTTTGTAGATTTGCCATAAGAAAACACAAAGCGCCAGTAGTTTATTTATTATAATTTTACGTAAGCAAGGGTGATTCTGGAAGTTGAAATCTGATGTTGATTAAATTTGGACAGTTTTTGAATTTTCGCGGTTAGTACAATTTGATCTTAGTTAGTACAATATCACGCTAGATGGCTGCACAGTTTTCAAAGTTTCAGAAACAGAAATAGGGAAAAATTAAGTTCGGGCTCCTTGTGTAGGCTCCATGGATTCAACTGTGGTCTGCTTGTATTTTTTAATTCGATTTATTTTTAGGGAATTTTATTTTACAATGTTAAATGACATTTAACTGTAAATAAAATCGATACATTTTTTTAAGAAAAAAATCATTTGACATTTTATATTTTTGACGAAAAATTACCATTTTATATTAGACTTTACAAATCAGATCATGATGAATGCAAAAAATTATTATTTCACAAATCAAAAAAAATTTGTTATGTAATGTTTATATAATATTTATTTTTATATGTAGAAATTATGGACGAAGTTTTATTTAGAAGTGGTCGTAGTTTAGAAAATTTACAGGTATTTATTCTTATTTTAGATACTATTGGATTTTACATATTTCAATTTTAGGTCCAAGGAGAGTTGCTTGCTATAAAAAGTAAAGAAATATTTTCCCAATACATAACACAAACAAAATCTATTATTTTACAAGCATGGAACAGTTCAAAATTGGAACATTTAAAACACCAATTAAAAGAGCTTTGGATATATGCTTTAACTGTAGGAGACAGCCTAAAAGACCGCTTTTTATACTTTGCCAATCCCAGTCATCTAATTTTAAACTTTTCTAAGGTTTTTGGGAGAAAATGTAAGTTTTATAAAATTATTGTTTTGGAAATAAATTATGTAACAGAAATAAATTATGCAACAGAAAATCCTGAGATGAATATCTTGACTGTTGATTCGAGATTCACTCAATGGTAAAACTCTGTATGCAGTTTAGTCAAATTGGATCAAAAAAATGTAAAGACATCAAACCATAGGTGGTACATTTTGCCTACCTCACAATCAGTTGATTTATATACTTGTTTTTTTGTCAATAAATTACAATTTGTTTCTGATTTTTCATTATTATCTTAAAAAAAGGCATTGGTTAAACATTATACAGGGTAATAGATTTTTACCATCTGATATCTTATCCATAATCCACATTGTGAGATTATAAAAAAAACATTTTTTAAAATAACTTAATAGTTGAATTTTGCTTTCTCTTTAAGAATGTATATTCAGTATGGAATACGGCATATTTTGCTTGAATGGAAAGTTTATCACACGAGCTGAAGGCGAGCTTGAGGGTTTCTCGAGAGCGAAATATGCAATTTCAAATTTGTTTCAGACTATACTTATTCTACATTTCCAAAAAATATCATAGAAAATTAATTTAATTGGAAGAAAGTAAGGTTGGTTCGTTCTAAAAGTTGTTAGATAATAAACACAGAGATGGCGTCACCTGTGTTTATTCATCCAATGATAGAATAGTACATTCTGTAAAAAGTTTGGAATACGGCATATTCCGCTTGAGTGAAAAGTTTGTCACACGAGTCGAAGGCGAGTTTGACGGTTTCACAAGAGGGAAATATGCAATTCCAAGCGTGTTTCAGACTATACTTTTTCTACGTTTTTAAAAAATACCATAGAAAAATAATTTAATTGGGAGAAAGTGAGGTTGGTTCAGTCTAAAATTTGTTATATATTAAAAACAGAGATGTCGCCACCAGAGTTTATTATGTCATTCCAGTGGCGTAACTACCACCGGTCCTACTGGTTTCAGAGACCGGGGCCCTGAGCACCAGGGGGCCCCCAGAAGTGGCAAGAGAATTTTTTTTTATCTAAATAAAAATAAATAAATAAGAAAATTGATCAATATGACAAAATAAAATTTTGTTTTTTTGTAGTACTAAATATTCTTTGCCTTATTGATATTATATTTCTATTGTGTTCTTTTTTTCAAATTTCTGAACTTAAAATTTGGAATTAAATATTTTGAAATAAACATAGGTTACTTAATTGAAATTTAAAATTACAAATCTAGAATCATAAACTCGAAATTAAATACTTCACATCGAAAGTCTGAAATTTTGAATAGGAAATATACATTCTTAGTCAAAAATAGAAATTCAGAGATAAAAAAATAAAAATCAAAAATTTGCAATCTAAAATAAGAAATTTTCGATTTCACATTTACAATTTTGGATAAAAAAATCAAGATTCAAACTCTCGAAACCTTATTTATAATAAGCATAAATTAGTAGTACTATAAATTAGTAGTACTATAAATTAATATAGCATACATATATATATATAACATATGTTTGCAATGAGACAGTTTAAAATATTGGAATAAAAATATTCTTTGAAACGTAGATCTGATTTGAGTATTATACCATAAAAATAAAACGTTTTACGTGAATAACACTTCATCCTTTTTTTTCAACATCATTTGTATCCCTACCTTGAATAATAAATACATCCCTTTGAAATCCTGAGCAATGAATATTCTTGTATAAGGCGTAAATGATTAAAAAAAAATTACTGGTAAGGGCCCCCTAGTGAAAATCTGACTGGGGCCTCCATTTCTATAGTTACGCCACTGTGTCATACCATATATAAAAGTGATATTAGAAGGCTCATATTCCGCAATAGGAGTAGAAAATAATTCAATATGTAACAGTTTAAGGAATATATTTAATTCCACATTAAAAAGTGATGTTAGAACGATCTTATTCCGTAAAAGGAGTAGAAAAAAGTAATTAATTATTTTTATTTATTAATCCCTAAAAGATAACAAGAATCTACAAGCTTGTTATACTAGTATAAATTAAAGAATACATATATAACTGGTGTTCCTCAAGAAACTATACTGGGTGACCCATTAGGTATTAAGGATAAGAGATCGTTAATATATAATATGAATAAAAGTGGACCCAGTCTGGGAGTAATAATATGCATTAATGAAACATGAAACAAAGTTAAAATTCAAATGAATAATTATCTTATTATGATAAGCAATTGACTTGGTCTAAATGAGTTATCACTCAATATCAAAAAAACTGTCTTTATTACGTTTGGATCATATGCTGATAGTGTACCAGAGAAAATAAATATTAAAATCAATGAAAGGACTATACAGAGAATTGAAAATTGTAAATATCTTGGTTTGATTATTAATAGTAGGCTCAAGTGGAATGCACATATAAACAAATTGATAAGTAGGTCTAAATATCTTGTCTACTTGTTGTATAAAGCATCAAGATTTATGAATGCATATTCTCTAATGGCACTGTACTATGCTTTTTTCCATAGCATTGCTACTTATGGTATTATTGCCTGGGGAGGGGCTTTTGGCAGTGCATTGGAGGGTCTGCATAGAATACGAATAGATTACTTAAAATAATGTTACTTAAAATAATTATTATTTTTTTGAAAGACAAAGATGTAAAGATGCCTCTATCTATTAGAGAATGTTTTGAGACTTGAGACTATATTATTAAACTATAAAAAACTGTCAACAAGTTTCAAAGAATCAAATAGGACTACAAGAAATAAAATAATTTTTTCTACAACCAAGCGAAAAGTACAAAAGCGCAAAGTTGCACTTTTCCAAGCGTTTTTTTACTTTGTCGCTCGCTTAGTTATCATGGAAACCATAATAAAGAAACGTTTAAGTCGGATTTATAGTTCTAAAACGTAGCCGTAGCCGTTGCAGTTGCAGTTGCAGTATGTAAGTAGCTAATTTTTACAATTTATAGTTCAGCGCGTAGCGGTTGCAGTAGTGGCCGCGTAGTGACATTTGTTCTGTTTACAAACATTTCAAGTATTTTGTATCGGTGATTTTCGCTTTGTTTATTTGGTTTAGTTTACTTATAAACATAGTTTATAAACTATAGTATAGTGACATTTGTTCTGTTTACAATCTTTAAAGATTTTAAGTATTTTGTATCGGTGATTTTCGCTTCGTTTATTTTGTTTATTTGGTTTAGTTTACTTATAAACATGGTTTGGGAGCCTTGTTTTTGAGTTTGACAGTTTTTCTGCAATATCTGCAATTTGATTGGCTGTAGTATCACAGACTGTTTTGCCCCTACTGCAACTGCAACGACTACGGCTACGTTTTAGAACTATAAATCCGGCTTTACTAAAGCCGCTTTAGTGTATTTGCGACTTTTGACGTAAAATTTGAGGTTATCAATAATTATTAATTTTTACCAAACATTCTTATAGAAACACCGGTTGTAGAAAAAATCCAGGGTAATTCGAGCGCATAGTGACATTGCCGCGCTCGCGATATAGCTGCGCTCCGCTACGCGTCGCGTGTTAAACTTCTTGCTCAGAGCGGCAATGTATCACTTTACGCTCTTAATACACAAATAGCTATTTCCAATAATACGGAAAACGATAAAACTAAACAGTAATAAACTAGTGGCAATAAAACTGTTTTTTGCACTGGATACAAACTTAAAAACAATTGAAAAAAAAATCATACAAAAAAATATTTAAAAAAATGGATGAGTGATAGCACACACAGAGTCTTAAATCTTTAAGTAATTAAAGCAAAATACTTAATAAAACAATAACACACTCTCATAATTAGATTCTATATTATAACATCAAAAAGTTTAGTAAATCAAACAATCTTTAAAGTTTTAAGTTTTTATTTTGTAATTTAAACTAGGTCTGCGCACAGGTTTAATAAATTTTTATGTAATGTCCCATTCATAAAATGTATCCCTATTCACCTGGTTTAATAAATTATTATTATTATTATTTAGGAGCAGATTAAGCAAGTCAAAATAAGACGAAAAACTAAATAAATATTTTTCCTAATTAGGTATGTTTAAAAGATACAGGGTGATAAAGTGTTACTTATCATATCAGTTTTTTTAATATAACTTCCCCTATGGTAGACTTGGAAAGGTGGTATTTTGCAAACAGTCACTTACTACCAAAACACATATTCACACAAAATTACAATTGTTCGAGTGAACGCAGTGTCGTAAAAACAGGGGTTGCTTAAGCTTATTGTCCGATACAAACTTTAAGGTTAGGTTTTTATACCATTTGATGCAATTTTTCGATTACTCAGTTCGGCTACTATTAAAAAGGTATACTTCTCAAACTTCGATAAAATAAACCGTTTCCGAGATATTCGAGATTACAATAATTGTTATATCGAATTAAAGGACTAAAAGGTATATGTTAACAAATTTTTTAATTGAAAAAACTACATTTTTTAATGTGAGGGTCTGGGCAAAAAGTATCGAGGCTCATGGAATGCCCTTTTTAGTTTTTTCAATTCAAAAATAAAATTTGTTATCATATACCTTCTAATCCTTTTAAATAATGCACCGCCCTCAGTGGTGTAGTAGTTAGCACTGCGGACTACAAGCCGAGAGGTCGTGGGTTCGAATCCCACCAGGGGTATGGTTGTTTATTTGTGTTTGCCATTGTGTATTTCTGTAATTGGGCCTGGTGCCTGTTGAAAGCACATTAAAAATAATATAACAATTATTGTAATCTCGAATATCTCGGAAACGGTTTATTTTATCGAAGTTTGAGAGGTACACCTTTTTAATGGTAGCAGAACTGTGTAATCGAAAAATTGTTTCAAATGTTATAAAAACCTAACCTCAAAGTTTGTATTGGACAATAAGCTTAAAGCAACCCCCGTTTCTACGACACTGTGTTCACTCAAACAATTGTAATTTTGTGTGAATATGTCTTTTGGTAGTAAGTGACTGTTAGCAAAATATCACCTTTCCAAGACTACCATAGTAGAGGTTATATTAAAAAAAACTTATATGATAAGTA